GTGGAGAGACAAGGTGGATAAGGTAGTATCTTTTATTGGACCAACTTCTTTTGGTGAGAGAGACAAGCTTTTGCGCTTACACAGAGCTCTTCTTCAGGTCTGAGAAACTAACTCAGAGTGGCAGTGGCAGTTGCGAGGGTCACTAGGCATCTTATGGTTTATCCCTTATCCACATCGCTCCTCTTGTATTCTAGAGAGGAACCATTTTTCCTAACAGGAAAGTGTACCCACGTGCCACAAATTGGCCAGGCAGGCTTTCATAGTGATCCTGACTTCAGGAATTTCAGACAGAGATTTCCTTTGGTCAGGTTTCTATATCTGCTCCATTTCATGAATTGAAGGACTGAATAGGTGAAGTGATCCCACACTGACAGAAGAAACAGGTGAAAAGGCCTCATGTAAAGAATCGCTCACTTAACTATATCTAAACAGGAGACAAAATGTATCTGAATCCTAGGAGACCAAGGGCCTATCAAATTGTTGTAGCTGGATCTCAGTAGGGTCTGAAGTAGCTGCTTGATGTTTGTTGCTTTAAGAGAAGTAAGACACTCTCAAAGAATGAGCAGAGCCTAGCCCCAAGGTGTCAAATCTTGTGAATGGGATAAAAAAATCTCATCCTAATTGTTCACAAACTCATGTTGTCAAAGAACTTCTCTCTCTGTGAGCCCAAAATCACCTTCTCTCTGCACTGAGATCCTATGGAGAGATCATACAAGTGGTGAAAAATGCAGATACCTCGTCTCTGAAGGAGGCAATAATCATCCCCAAAAAAGGTTGAAGAAGATTCTTGGAGCTGATGAAAGGCCAAAGGAACAGGTGAAAAATAGGGCTGTCAAAAGATTAAAAAAATTAATTGCAATTAATCGCACTGTTAAACAATAATAGAATACCATTTAAGTATGTTTGGATGTTTTCTACATTTTCAAATATATTGATTTCAATTACTACACAGAATACAAAGTGTACAGTGCTCACTTTATGTTTTATTACAAGTATTTGCATTGTAAAAAACAAAAGAAATAGTATTTTTCAATTCAGCTAATACAAATACTGTCATGCAATCTTTTTATCATGAAAGTTGAATTTACAAATGTAGAATTATGTATATAAAAACTGCATCAAAAAATAAAACAATGTAAAACTTTAGACCTACAAGTCCACTCAGTTCTACTTCTTGTTCAGAGAATCGCTCAGACAAACAAGTTTGTTTACACATTTGCAGAAGATAATACTGCCCGCTTCTTGTTTGCAATGTCACCTGAAAGTGAGAAAAGGCGTTCACATGGAACTATTGTAGCTGGTGTTGCAAGAAGTGCTAAAGATTCATATGTCCCTTCATGCTTCAACTACCATTCTAGAGGACATGCTGATGATGGGTTCTGCTCGATAATAATCCAAAGCAGTGCAGACTGACGGACATTCATTTTCATCATCTGAGTCAGATGCCACTAGCAGAAGGTTGATTTTCTTTTTTGGTGATTCAGGTTCTGTAGTTTCCGCATTGGAGTGTTGCTCTTTTAAGACTTCTGAAAATATGGTCCACACCTCGTCCCTCTCAGATTTTTGGAAGGTACTTCGGGTTCTTAAACCTTGGGTTGAGTGCTGTAGCTATCTTTCGAAATCTCACATTGATACCGTCTTTGCATTTTGTCAAATCTGCAGTGAAAGTGTTCTTAAAACAAACATGTGCTGGGTCATCATCTGAGACTCCTATAAAATGAAATATATGGCAGAATGTGGGTAAAACAAAGCAGGAGACATACGGTTCTCCCCGAAGGAGTTCAGTCACAAATTTAATTAACTCATTTTTTTAACGAGCATCATCAGCATGGAAGCATGTCCTCTAGAATGGTGACCGAAGTATGAAGGGGCATATGAATGTTTAGCATATCTGGCACGTTAATACCTTGCAATGCTGGCTACAAAAGTGCCATGTGAATGCCTGTTCTCACTTTCAGTTGACATTGTAAATAAGAAGCAGGGCAGCATTATCTTCCGTAAATGTAAACAAACTTGTTTGTCTTAGCAATTGGCTGAACAAGAAGTAGGACTGAGTGAACCTGTGGGCTCAAGTTTTACATTGTTTTGTTTTTGAGTGCAGTTATGTAACAAACGAAAAATCTACATTTGTAAGTTACACTTCCATAATAAAAAGATTGCAGTACAGTACTTGTATGACATAAACGAGAAATTGTATTTTTCAGTTCATTTTTACAGTGCAAATATTTGTAATAAAAAATAATACAAGGTGAGTACTGTATTCTTTGTATTCTGTGTTGTAATTGAAATAAATATATTTGAAAATGTAGAAAAATATCAAAAATATTTATTAAATTTCTATTGTTTAAGAGTGCGATTAAAAAAATTAATCACAATTACTCAGTTTTAATCGCAATTAATTTTTTTGAGTTAATCGTGTGAGTTAACTGCAATTAATTGACAGCCCTAGTGAAAAGGCCTCATGTAAAGAGGGCTGTACATAAAAAAAAAATGGTGATTCCTATTCCTATTCCAGCCACAGGCATCAAATGTCATCCCACTGAGCTGTTCACTTAGCAGGGCTGAATGTTTGTGCCATCTTCAGAGGAGGACCAACAAAAACTGCTGCCCCGCTAATGAGATAGCCGCTGCTAATAGTTCAGCCTGCAGCTAGAGGAAGACACTGGCAGACAGGTGATGAACAAGTTGCACTTGCCTACTCCTAAATGGTCCACCATTGAGGTTGATTAATCTGTGTGTTCCGAGGTGGAAGGATGAAGAGAGATGACAGAAAAAGCAGGAAACAGACTGTCTCCAAGATCTGAGTCAGATGGTTCTCTCATCAAACCAGGCAGAGACAGTAGAGTGAGGTGCTTCTACCAAATGGAGGCAAAACATTGGACTTTTGGCAGAGTTCCAAGCCATCTATCTACATTACCTCTACATCTATCTATAGGGAGCACTTTGGTGCCAAAATCTCTCCAGTGAACTGCCTCCATGAGTGCCTGTGAGCATTGTTACCTAGTAGTCTGTTCCAATGCCTGTCCCTGGGAATAAATATTTTTAAAAAGCAAGGAAGGAATCCTGAAAGTTAAAATATACCTAAGCAGCCCACGGCCAACTTCAAGAGAGTCCCTTCTACAGGCAAGAAAACACCTGCCATTAGGTCTATCTTCCTGACAATACCAAGGTAAGGTTCTGGGGAATTCTAATAACTTCATAGCCAAAAAGCTAGAGAATACTCCATTATCCCTGAAAAACTTTGTAGCAGCTAAATAGAATTATAATCAGAATCTTTTCTATATTAAGCCTGCAAATACCAGGAGCAACTGAGTTCTTCACTAGCCTTTTTATTTTTGATAAACAGTATCTACATTGGACAAAAATTCTCTTTAATTTCTGGCACAAGAAAACTAAAATCAGATCATGACGATTCAGAAAGTGAAGAAAAATGTTTAAGCAGATGACAAGTCTACTGATACAACAATCAATAAATTGTATTCCTATAAACTCTCACTATCATTACTGAAAATAACAAGGATAAAAACCATCAATGTAATAACAGGCCCCCAAGGTTACACACCTGTAAAATGAGAGCATTAAACAGTTGTGCATGGTTTCTTATGTACAATATTTATTTGTAATAAACTTTCTACTTAATATTTTTTTAATGTAATTTACCGTGTTTCTCATTTTTGCTACAACTTTTTTCTGTTCCTGAGTTCACTTTTTCTTATCCTTCCTACAATAGATTTTGATGTAATGTTTCATTACCATCTCTTTCTATCCAGTTAGTCTTTTCTCTTTCTTGCACTGCACTGTGTGCTCTACCTGAGCCTCCATCATTTGATTTTTTTTAATAGTTTCAACGGATAATATCTATGTTTATTTTTAAGTATTTTTTCTGTTTTATCAATTTAAATTTTCACAGTTGCAGGAAATTAAGGAGGTATAAGAAAAGGGGAGATCAGGATTGTTTAATAACAATAGACGTTGAGATTCAAAAAGTTAAAGCTTCATAACTATTATAACACAAATAGTTAACATCACATGTCAAAATATACAAAGTAAATCCTTAAATCAAACTAAGTTCCCAAGCAGCATTTTTCTTACTTTGCCTATATGTAAATTTCTATTATCGATGGAAATATTTTTTTCATTTGTTCATGTGTGGATGTTGTAATTGATGTTTACCAACATTTACTGAATAAATTCTAATCCTTCCAAGCCTGTCTATATTTTTGGCTTTCCAAGTTCATTCCATTAAATGTCTCTCTACTATGTCATTTTTCCAAGTTATGCCATCAATTTTTCTTACCTTCCCAGCCTTTCATGCATACAGTTAGCCAAATGTACCAGTCACATCATAGCCATAGAACTAAACTAAGACAAGCGACACCAATGTCCAGAGGCAATTCCCAAGAATACTTACTACCCTGTTTCCCCGAAAATAAGACAGTGTCTTATATTAATTTTTGCTCCCAAAGATGCGCTAGGTCTTATTTTCAGGGGATGTCTTATTTTTCAGAAATGAAAAATGCCTTATTATCGGTGGATGCCTTATTATCGGGGAGGTCTTATTATCGGGGGGATGCCTTATATTACAACGAGAGGCAAAACTGTAAGTAGGCCTTATTTTCAGAGGATGTCTTATTTTCGGGGAAACAGGGTAGTAGTCAGCAGAAAGCTGCCTGGAAAGCTGGCTGCCAGCTCTCCTACTGGTTTCCAGATGTTAAATTGCATCAAAAGACAGCTAGAAATACACTAAAAACTTTTTTAATATTACTTTTCCTTACATTATTGCTGTAGGGATGTTATTTGATCATGAATAGCAGTGAGTTCATCCATAAGACATCTCTCTCCATCATATGAAAAAGTTTGAGAATTTCTGAACTAAGTAAACCGGATTGTAAATTTGAATCAAGTTTAAAACTTAAAAACAACAAATAAATACTTACGAGTTTATTATGCTAGCAAATTCTAAACTAGGTATATGTTTAAAAAAACCTTTCAGTTCTCACCACAACTTCAGAAGTGGATTGAAGATGCTGCATCTCAGTTCTGGGAACTTTCTCACACAGCATATGGAGCTTTAGTTTTTCGAACAGTACCTATATTAACAAAAATTATATATTTCAAGGTGATGGAAATGTTTGAAAATTGAAACATAATGGAGCATTGCTATTGTGCATCTGGCTTTTAACTCTATAGAAAACAAAAAGCATACTGTAGCAAAGAGGGAACAAAATGGGGAAAAATGGTTAGATATTTGTAAAATTGTTGTATTTATCAAAAGCAAACAGACTTTTTCTTTAATTTTAAAGATGCCTAAAACAGAGGAGTCAAATGCTTTGCTATTGCCATGACCTGGGTGAAACCTTGTTATGGGTTGAGTTAAAACCGCGTTGAGATTGACAAATGTGAACTCACCCTTCAGTTAACATGACAGAAAGAATAAGCCCTCACCTAAGACAAATGGTGCATGGTGAACCTGCATAGGAACTTTCAGCTGAATATTTTTTGGGGGGGGTGTGGTTGTGCGTGTGTGTGAAGGCAGATCACACAGAAAAAGAGAACAGACAAGAACAGAAAGAAATGGAAAGACAAGAAAGCCAGTTTGGAGGTTGGAAGCACGGTGTGATGCTGGAAAAAGCTAGTGAAAGAGCATTTGGATCTGGTGTTGGCTAACGAGGCTTAGGGACTTAAGCTAAGAAATCGCTCCTTTGTTCTTGGTTCCTTCTGCATTCAGAGACACAGGACTTTGTACACAGGGCCGGCTCTGGCTTTTTTGCCGCCCTAGGCAAAAAAGCCACCCGCTGTCCCCCCTCCCACCCAGCGCGGCAGGGGAGGGCGCCGAGCCCGGCCGCGGGCCCGCAATCCCCGACCGGCCAGAGCGCCGGGAGGAGGGCGGAGAGCCCGGCTGGGGCTCTCCACTCTCCCCGGAGGCCAAAGCGCCGGGAGCAGGGCGGAGACCCTGGCTGGGGCTATCCACTCTCCCCGGCGACCAGAGCGCCGGGAGCAGGGCGGCGAGCCCGGCCGGGGCCCCGCTCTCCCCGACCGGCCGGAGCGCCGGGGGGAGGACGGCGAGCCCACTGCGGCTCCGCTCTCCCCGGCGGCCAGAGCGCCGCAGGGAGGGCGGCGAGCCCAGTCGCGGCCCCACTCTCGGGCCGGAGCGCCCCGCCGCGCTGCCCCCCTCCAGGCGCCGCCCCAAGCACATGCCTGGTGGGCTGGTGCC